TGAATCTGGCCTACACTGAGTTCTCTGTCTCTGTCTCTGTCTCTCTCTCTTTTTTCTTTTGGTCCTGGGGATCGAACTTGGGCCCTTGTGCTTGTGAGGCAGGCAGTGGAACCACAGAGCCAAATCCCCGGCCCGAGTTTTCTATCCCTTAAGATTCATTTCCAAATTTCCAAAATGTACTCCATCTAACTCCTCCTGCATAAGGAATGAGAACTTTCACCCTAATTTGCCAAGAATGAACTCGGGTTTTTAACTGTTAAACATTTCCCAGCCTTATTCTTACCATTCTTGGCTCATGCTTTCATTATCTCTCACCTGAATTATTGCAAACTTTTTGTTTTATTTACTTTTCATTAGTGCATGTTTGCAGTACACCATGCTTACATCCTTTCTCTGGAGTTGGTACCAGTACATACATCTTCATTTCTTTTTTCTTCTCCTAATCCACTCCCTCCATCCCTTGACCCACTTTCCAAATGAGAAAGGTCTGTCTCTCTACTTCTTATTTTTTATTTTGCTCTTCATTTATACTTTGGGTTTTTCATATGAGAAACCATGCGATATTTAAGCTTGTGTGTCTGGTTTATTTCATTTAACATTGTGGTCCCATTTTCCCACACATGACTTAAATTTATCTTTCTTTATGACAAAATAGTCCTCCATCATGTGTAAATACTATACTTTCATCATCCCTTCACCTCTTGATGGACATGTATAGGCTGCTACTAAGATTTAACTATTTTGAATTGTGCTGCTATAAACACATATCATTGTAAAATGATGCTATTTGTTTGTTAGTTTTTTTGGAGGGGGGTGGGTACTGGGGATTGAACTCAGGACCTTATGCTTGCAATGGAGGTGGCAGAACTACTGAGCTAAATCCCAGCCCAAGTTTGTTAGCTTTTGAAAAAGGGTCCCATTATGTAGTTCATGCTGGCCTTGAACTCAGTATGTAGCCCATGCTGGTCATGAACTCAGAGGTTCTCCTGCCTCAGCCTTCGTAGTGCTGGGATTGCAAGTGTGTATACCATACTTGGCAATGTATTTAACTCTTTCAGGAAGATTCCTAGAAGGGGCATAACTGTCAAATAGAACATCTTGTTTTAGTTTTTTGAGAAATTTTCCTGCTGATTCCCACAGTGGCTGTACTAGTTTACATTCCTATAAACAATGTAGGAGGCTTCCTTTTCCCTGTGGACTCACCAGCATTTGTTATTATTTGATTTCTTGATGATTGCTGTTCTTTCTGGGGTGAGACGGAATCGTAGTATTGTTTTCATTTGCATTTCTCTACTGACCAGCGCTGTCGAGCATTTCTTCACGTATTTATTGGCCACTTGTACTTTTGATTCCCTGTAGTATCTATTCATTTCACTGCTATTTTTGATTGGCTCTTTTATATTTGGGGATTGAATTTTTTGAGTTTTTTAGATATTCTAAATATTAGTCCTCTGGGGAATAGCTGACAATTTTTTTCCTATTCTGTGGGCTTTCTTTCCACTCTATTAGTTGTTTCGATGTACAGAAGCTTTTTAATTCAATACGATCCCACGTATTGATTCTCAGTACTATTTCCTGTTTCCTTTGGTTCTGTTCAGAAAGTCCTTGCTTATGCCTATGGCTTCAGGAGTTTTACCTGTTTTATTTCTCAGCAGGTTAAGTGTTACTGGTGTAACATTTAGTTATTTTGGATCATTTTAATTTCAGTTTAGTAAATTGTGAGAGACATGAGCCTAAATTCAGAGAGCCAGTAGAGGAGGAAAGAGGAACTGGGAGTAAGAATATACATTCCTAGCTGGGTGAGGTGGCACATGCCTGTAATCCCAGCACTCAGGAGGCTGAGGCAGAAGGATCATCCAGCTTGGGCTACATAGGGAGTTCTAGGGCAGTTTGAACTATATAGTGAGACCCTGACTAAAAACAAACAAAACATGCTTCTAGATGGATAGAGGATGGAAGGAGAGGAGAAAACAGACAGAAAGGGAATTAAGATGTGTTAGGTCCACATACCGACTCCCCACAAGCAATGTAACCATTGTATGAGGGAGACTGTAATACCGATTACACCCAACGCAGGCTGTAAGCAGTGCAGGCTTGAAGAATAAACCCCACAACTGGTTTGTTTGTAGAAGTGAGTCTGATCAAAGCCTATGTGTGGAGGTCAGAGTAACTCACACCCAAATCCTGTTCCCACAACTAAAACCTTCTAACTAGAAGGACAATGTTCTAAAGACAACCATATATATTTTGCCTATTCTGGTCTTAATTCAAGAATGCTTTGTCTTGTCCTTTATGAGCCTTGTTTACATAGTTTCCATAGGAACTGCAGGACTGTGCATTCTCTGAGAGTCCTGCCCTTACACATAGCTCACCTTTACCCCAACTGATTACCAGTAAGAACCAGAGGTTTAGTCTGGCCAGGGCTTTTGTTGGATGCACCAGCACTGGTCATCCTGGTGCCCTGCTTTCTGTCTCTCTTTCATCTTTTAGTTTTTTCCTCAGGTCTGCGTTGTACACTGGGCAGGAGACTGGAACCTACAGCAGAGGTTTCTGTAAACGTCTCAGGAGTCCCCAGTAATTAAACACAGCAAAAATGTACCAATAAAAAATTTTTAAAAAGTAAAATATACCATTCTAGGTCATACCTCCAGTGACACACACCTCTTCCCATCCCGCCCAAGGCTCAACAGTATATTCAGTCTTGGACTCCTGCTCAGTGGATCAGTCTGCTGTGAGCATAGGGTCCTGGTGATCTAGTGTTTGGTCTCTATTGCTTTTCCAGAAGGATCCTTGGAAATGCTGACTGGAAAATATTTGAGTGGACCCCGCTGCTCCTCCAACACACATCAAACGATAAAGAGAGGGAAAATATTGCTTGTGAGAATCTGAGTTCAGTGGAGGAGGAAGAGAGGGGGACAGTTTTCGGACCCCTCCACTCCCCGGTCTGCAAAGGAACTCTGGACCTTGTGCACATGTGATAGTTTTTGACTGGATGTCCCCCCAAAAGGAGCTCTGGGTGGGATTGGGGGACCGATGGGATCGTGGGGTGACACTCCTCAGAGGGTTAGTTCACTAAGCTTAGCGTTTAGAGCTAACGGTAATGTGGAAGTAAAACCAGGCGGGAGGAGGTGGTCACTGGGGCAGGCCCGGCAGGGTGCTCCTCTCTCCCTCCTCTGTCCATCTTGGCCTCACTGCGCAATGCCCTGAGCTGATTCTCCTCCGCCACATCGCCCTAACCTGGGGCCGGCTGATGGACTGAAACCTCTATAAACTGCGCCAAAATAAACCCCTCCTCCTTTTAGCTGCGGTGTCACCTACCCTGGTCCTGCGATAATCAAGTAACTACCACTGAGCTCCACGGCAGCCCTATTTGTTTTTTTTGGGGGGGTAAGGAACTAGGGGAGGTAATAAAGTTCAAGGAAGAAGAGATTTGCGAGAAGCAACTGTCAAAGACCTTTATTATTATTACTCGTCGTTGTCTTTGAGCTAGGATCTTGCTATGTAGTTCAGGCTGGCCTTGACCTCACTATGTAGCCCACCTTGAACTCATAGTAATGCTCCTGCCCACCATGTCCGGCTGGCCCAGGACCTTCACACGCCTCCTCCTCGGCGCCAGGGAAGTTGTTACTTTGTCCAAGTTACAGCTGTTCGTATATTTACCTTTCTCTACAAGAGGACCTGGGTTAAAGCTTGCCACTTAATGTTTTTTGACAACGTACTGTACATCTTCCCTGACACATACTTTAACGCTTGCCGCACTTTATCCCTGGCCACCTAAGCCAAACTCAGTCATCTGACAAGTATCCAAGTGACTGCCCTTCTCCCTGACTGAGCAGCCCATCGTTTTCCAAGGCAGCCTTTCCATTCTCCTAGGATGGCTTTTCTGACACCCCAAAGATAAAATTTGCTCTCCCCTTTTCTGTGCAGCCCAGGCCCCCATCTGCTTTATTCCTGACATAGTTAAATATTACACCCAAATGTTTGTCTGTCTTTCCTCCTCAATAGTCCTTTTTGTAGGTAGAAGCCGCAATTCGCAAAGGTCCGAGCTCTACGTTCCGCCCGAAGTAGGCGCTCAGGAAAAGTTTACCGAATTAAGGAGCTGGGCGTCCCAGCGACGTCACTCCTGGCATGCGCGGCGTCACTCCGCGGAAGCCGCGTGGATTTAAGGGTTAAATCGGTGTTTATAACATGTACCGGACATCTCCAAGGCAGGGTAAGACACCAGAGCGTCCACGGGGCCTTCAGGGTCTGGGTCTTGCAGCCCCAAAACGCCCCTTAAGAGAGAAAACTCGCAGCCTCGGGGAGCGAAGGAGCCCGGATGCCCAGAGGAACCCGGAAGGGGCGGCCGGGAGGGCGGGGCGGAAACAGCTATTATCTCGCGATGCTTCCTCCTCGCGCTCCCGCTCGGGAGGTCTCGCGAGAGGAGCGGGGGCAAGATGGTCGTGTCCTGGATTTCTGTGTGAGACGGCAGCCGCGACTGCAGGGTTAACGCGCACGGCGGCGGCTGCGGGCACGGCGGCGG